TTCACCCGGTGGCAGCAGATCTTACACTGATACAGACAAGGGATGACTATAACGTAAAGGGGAACACTACAAAACAAAGTACAATAGAAGAAGCAAGGTACACACAGTGCAAATCCAAACATATAAAGTCACACAAGGTCACTGCACTCGATCAAGGACATTTTGAATGGAGTGGTTTGAAGCAGCCTCACAACTGAGGTAGAGACACGTTTTGTTTAACAGCGCTTTCATTAACGAGGTCATGTTGTGTCGAATGATGTGATGAATGTTGAATTTGAAGGGATCTGGAAGGAAGCTGTTACGGCCTAATAGCGATATTATAGGGAAATTTTCATGTAGGGTCTGAGGAAGACAATGTGCAACTCATTTGTTACACCCTTTACCCTCGCCGATATTCGAACCAAAGGGCGCCTCACGAATAGACGGCAGAAACTTCATCAGTTGAGTCAGCGTTCTCATTATGCGTCTTTGTATGTAGGTAGGGCTCCGCGAGCTTGTGGCAGAATTCTCTGTAGCACTGGCCGCGTGAGGAATGGGCAGATCATGTAGATCGTAGGGAGCATCGCGTGAGTGTGCCGGAGAGAGAGAGAGATTAGTGATTGCTGCTTCACACGGCGTGTTCTTGCGTCTGGACCCTTTCCGAAATGTTCTTTACGCCCCAAATTTCTCATAAGATTTTCCTGACGAATAATAACTTTCCCTCAAAACGGCCTTCACCGTTGTGTACACTCGAACCCCCTGAATCATTGCTACATCTGAACACTCCGCGCTCTACACGTGTATTCTGAACGTGCCCAGTTCGAATGGCCTCAGTGGTGTTCTCCGTGAATTTCCTCAGTCCTTACAGGAGATGGGAGTCGACATAGCGACGGACTAAAATCCGGAAGGCCTGGTTCAATTCCCAGCAGAGTCAAGATTCTTCTTTTCATATTACACCGGCCGAGGGGCTCACCGAGCCTCCTATCTGAATGGGACTAGGGACAGGAGCTGGAAGCTGACCGCTCATCTGCATCCAGTGCCGAGGTCAAGAATGGTGGAACTATACTTCCACTCCCCCATACGTCTTCATGACGTGGTGTGTAGTTAATGAAGGACAGAGAATTTTACCGTCCAGTCGATCGCCTGGAGAGTGTCTTGGAGCCGTCTCGACTTGTTACTTCCAAGACTGCACCAGTCTATCACCCTTTATGATCCTGAGATCAGATGTCTTCGAACATGGATGCAGAGAGAGTCGCAAAACAAACTTCAAGATCAAAACTGCTGAAGCCCTCGGCACTGCATAGAGATTCGATTCTTGCAGTCGAAATCATCACATACTTCACAGTCATCCGCGAAAGATTAAGAATTATGAACATTTTAAAATTCTGACGTTTGCCCAGAAACACTCTCCCGACCACCAGCCTGCACCCTGGCGTACATTCAGTGAACTCTGTTAAATTGCTTCTGGTCCTCGCCGGCAAAATAATTCTTGACTTAATCTCTTCTCGAGACCTGTGACCAAGGTTTTTGTTTTCTCCTAGGCCTGTAGTGTTTAGACGAAATGGGGGCGGGGGGGGGGGGTCAGTCTTTCTATTTAGGCGCTGCATTTGTTGCACCGCATTTTCATCACTCCCTGCTAAATTGCCGCTGACCCCCGCCAGCACAGTGATTCTTGGTGCCGAGTCTCACGACCTTATTTTACTGTCTGGCGACCCTGGGACCGTGCTAGACTACCTCTGACTGCCTCTAGATGAAGGCTGTGTGGATAACGTAAGTTTTATTGTTCACCCCTGCGCGCAGCCCCTCTGTATATCAAGTTATTGGATATCATCCCCCGTTGTGTTCGCTCCAGCGAGCTTTCTAAAGAGATACGTTTTCCTGTTGTGAATTCGCCGTAACTCGGCCCTGGCACTTGTTTAATGCTCTACACGACACGAAAGCTGCCAGAGAGAATTC